GCCTCTGATCAGTCTCCTTTGGTTCCTCAGACTGACTCCACCCCTTGAACGTCAGTGGTCCCTGTGGGTCTGCTTTTCTGTCTCCCTTGGTTCAACATGTATGTTTTCCATAAATGAATGCATTCATCCCTGTGACTCCACTACCAGTTATACGTGGAAGTCTCCTACCATTAGTGTTTCCAGCCTTAATACTGCTCTATATTTCCAAACTCACCAGATCACACAGAAGGCAATAAAACTACAACCAAAGGTGAAATGACCATGGGATACCTTCTTTCTTCCACCTGCTCAGTACATGCTCCTTTTCCTTCTTAGGACCAATAATATAATCACTATTTATCTGTTTCTTTACTGGACTTCTGACATTTCCATTCCCACATCCATGTGCTCAATCACTGAGTCCTGTCAATTCAACCTCAGAAACTTTCCCCAAACCAATTCTCCTTTTCCTTTTTGCTACCATGGCCCCAGCTGAGGCCGACTCCATTGGTTGAAAAGCTCTCCCACAAATTTCTCCCCACTGCTAGTCCTTCCTCACACAGTTGCCAGTCTTAGCTTCTTAGAGAGCAAATCTGTAATTGTTACTCCTTTTCTCAAACACGTATCTTGGCTCCCTATTGCTTGGTGATTAAACCCACATGCCTCTGGTCTTATCCTCCTTATCCAAACTGGTTTCTTAGGCCGGTGGAAATATAAATTGACCTGAACATGGAACAACCTTTGGTTTAGTAGGACTTTATGCTTTTTAATTTCTTGCTCCACAATGTCATAATGACCATAGCACAGGACATAAAGAGACAAATGACCATGTTTTTGGTGTAAAAAACACAGACCATGAGATGCCCAAAATACAACATAGTTTATCTGAATTCACTCCCCATATGTTGGTGTCTACTTTTCCCCTTACATTAAGTCAAAAGAGGGATTTTACTGGCTTCCCCAAATGAATAGTCCAGAAGTGGATTGGGCTTTAGGTAGTAGAACTGTATTAAGAGGTCTTAGAAATTTGTCTCCATCTCTGGGCTCTGTCTGCACTGTTTCATTTCAGCCTCAGATCAGGTCGTTTCCATGTAGCACTGATTCGGCTCTGAGCAGTCCTGAGCCTACAGCATGTGTGTAGATTATGATTCCACAAACACAAAAAGAATCTTTCTGATTGGTGAAACCAGAGTCACACAAATATGACCCCCAGGGTCAAAGTTCTAGACCCAATCCTACTCAAACCAAATGGATTGAGCAGGATTTTTTTGGGGGGTTTGGGAGTGGGTGTGGAGGTGGGAAGCAGGAGGTAAGGACGGTTTCCCAGTGAAAGAGACAGACCATACATGCCCACTATGCCTCTCAACACATAAACTTTCTTTTATCCATTATGATTAAAATCTACATACCAAATTTTCATGTATTCAGGGACCAAGAATAGAGCTTACATGAAAGAGAAATGTTAAAAACAGAGGTTCCTGAGCCAGTGAAAGAGATGGCAGAAATTTTTCTAAAAATAGAATTCTGATAAGAACCTCAACAAGAGTACCAGCTATACCTCTGATTCTGAATTTGATTTTATTCTTCCCTAATTTCAGTGTATCTAAATCTTTGGGATATTGGTCCCAGAATTTTCTCATAGACTTAGAAACAACCCAGATTTCCTTCTAAGTTCACTAGCCTATGTCAGATCATAGGAATCAACTGGGATTTCAGAAAATAAGAGCCCTCTTTAAGAGGGTTCCCTTCTTTGGTTCTCACTTGGCTCAGTCAGGTCTTTAGGGGTTCCAGAAACTCAGAAACACCACCGTCCCCCTACGTAGGAGTTAGAGAGCAGAGAGAGTATAGAGATTGCCTACTATGTAAATTGATGAGAGCGGAGTCAATCTCCCATAGACAAATAGTCAGGCTGAATGATGTTAAACTGAAAGATAACAAGGGAGGAGGAATGATCATTTGTAAAAAGAAAAGTGTTGAAGGGCCCTTTTGCCTGGCAAACATAAATACCCTGAAGAATAGAAAACCGTGGGTGGATGTGGGGCCTGCTTAATGTGAATCCTACATCAGGCGTTTGTAGGTGATATAAAACTCTGATGTGCTGTAAAATTTATATTGCTCCCCAAAATGATCTACTGGTAGAACATATAAATTTTGCAGAAACTGTTAAAGCTGTCACAAAACCTCATTGCTACAGATACAATAGGTGTTTCAGAAATACACACCAAAGCAGAGATTTGTAATCATTTCAGTGTGGTTCATAAAAAGAAGCACATTGTGTTTCAACATCTGAGAAACTACAAAGGTTCTGTTCTCCCAAAGATCTTTTTTACCTTATTTTGCATACTTAAAGATGAGACAAGCAGAGACAAATAAACAGTTTAAATATTTAAATGCAAGCATTTCCTTATATGCCCACATTGTTAGAAAGGTGGGAGCAAATGATTATTTCTTTACCAAGTTCACAAAGAATTGTTGGCTCCATTTAATAATAGTGGATCTTGTTCAGGCTGAACAAACTGGTCCCTGTAGGGAGGAAGGCAGCAATAAATCAATACCCTAGATGTAATCTCGGTGTCTAGAATGTAGAGAGATTTTGGTGCATAATGGCACTGGTGTGTCTATTGTCATTCAGACATGGGCTGCATCAGAAAAGGGCTTGTGGGAACCTGATAAGAGGTGGTCAAAAGTGGGCCATAAATCACAGAGAGGCAGTCTTCTGCTGATTTCATACACACGTACTTTCTGGGGTGAAAAAAAGTGATAGATCTGCAATTTACTGCTTATCACATCTGCTAGAAGTTTCATAATACAAAAGCCTGACCTTCAGTGAATAAACACCCTGGTTGACTACTTGCTGCTGTTGAGGAAATACGGCACTCCAGCCACCAAAAGCTGGGAAACTCTCTGGTGACCTATTTGGCAATCCCCCTTTGTGAGCCATGCAGTAATGAGTTTTACTCACAAGCATCTTCTGGAACAAGGGGCAGAATGGCACTTATTGAAAGAAACTAGATACAGAGGAGAACTAATGGCCTGAGGGATCATATGGATTCCACACATGTTTAGCACTTGTTAACTTTCTGCAGATCACTGGGCCACAACATCTTCTCAAATAATGGGGGAAGGAGACAGAAGTGGCAAGAGGAATTAGGAGGCACGAGGAACCAGGAATTGGCTGCAGCCTAGAGTAGGGAATGCAATCTTCCCAGGCAAAGAAAGAACCATCTGGAGAAACAGAACAAAAATGAGTGCAAGTTTTCAGTCCACCATGCTTTAAACTAAAAGTTGGACTATTTCTGCCTCTCATTTATTTCAGGGAAGAGTCTGAAAGCATTGACCATTCTTTTTTAATTGTAGCACTTTTCAATTAATATATATCTGATCTTAGTTTCGATATATGAAGGTTCGACAGTTAACAGTGTACATGAACACAGTGCATCTTTATCACTTTAAGATATGTGAAGTCAGTACTCCCAAAATCCCTGAAGTCTCTCCTTGCTCCCTGATTGAGTGAATCTACACTTTCCTTAATAGAATCTTCCCTGAGTCAAATATGTTCTGAGTAGATCCAAGTTTTAAAAGAAGTAACTTCATGTTTAAAAGTTGTTTATTAGCTAAAAGCTTTTTCAAGCTTGGATTTGTAATTTCAAACCAAGTTTATAAAATGTCTCAAATGTTTTCTGCTGTTACAAATGAAAAATCCATTCATTCATTCTTTCAACAAATATTGATTATTTAACTATTATGGATCAGACACTCTTCAATGTGCTAGCAGTTAGCAGTAAACTAGATAACAAACAATCCCTGCCCTTGTGGGGTCTACAGTTTAGTTGGGGGTGGGCTAGATATAGTCTAATGACCAAGTAACTACCATATATAGTTTGTCAAGACAATAAATGCTATGGAGAAAATAAGCAGGGAAGGGTAGGAGAGAGCTGCTGTGAGTTTGGGAGATGGAAGAGGTGTATATATTATTTAAATTTTAAATACTTTCTGGTAGCCAACAGCTTTAAACTTCTCCCTCACACCTTCCAGCCATGATAATGACTAGGACTGGGGAAAATCTGTTTGAATCTCACTCTTTGCTGAGCCTTTTTCTACCTACACATGGACACAACTGCAGAACGGCAAACAGGCCAGGGAAACCAAGATCACACTGTTGAATGATCAGATTGACCTGTTGCACTACCCATCATGGCACCTCTTAAAAACAAAGTCGGTGACTGGGTAAGGTGCCACCACATGCACATTAGTTACCATGAGTCTCAAAGGATACAGGATGCTCTTACTCTCTTCTATGTACAATAGTTTTGATTTTGGGTTTTCCTCTTAGCTTCTTGGCAAAAGTAGCAAGACTTAGGTTCTATTATTTTTTTCTTGAGAGAAAATTATGTATTTTATTGATAAACCAATATTAGAAACGTTGTAGGTGGGCTGGGGCAGGCTGGGCTCACTCTGCGGTGGGGTATTGTGCTTCACTCTCCTCCCCGAACTCTTGAGCAGCTCACGCTGAAGTCAGAAGCTTCCCTACTAGGACTTCGCTGAGCTCCCCTGCACCTTTGCTGAAAATCTCATCCTCATCAGAATCTTTGTCGCCACATTTTTTGTGGTGTGGCATTGAGGGGTCTATACATGTCCCTGAGCCAAAGTGGCCGCCTTCTCCAGAAAAAGCTCTCCTGACTCTCACTCTCAGATACTAAACTGAGGATCTCCTATACAGCAGAAATCGAAAGGAGCCCCTTGAGCTTCCTTCTTTATCTTGAGCTGCTCCTCTATGGGAATAAATAAATTTTTTAACCCTGGCAATTTAAAAAGATATGAATCTTCAATAGTTGTCAGAGGATTATGACTCAGATTTACGAGTAAGTGAGAGCTTGATGCCCGCGTCCCCATCAAGGAAAGTAAGAACTAAAAACTAAAGCTCGAGCTCACAGCCTGACATCAGAGCTAAGTCTGAGCTAACCCCAGGCCATGCAACCGCACCTTCCAACTGATCTTCAACAGACGTTTATTTCCCCTTGAGGGGGCGCACTGTTCCTGGAGGTACTGCAATACTAGATGGATGCGTGATGTGTGGAGTGGACGGAGCAAGCTCCTATTCCATCTCTTTGCCACAAAAATCCACTAAATATATTGTCCTCGGATAGAGCGCGTATCAGATACTAAACTGATAAGAACAGATACTACACTTGATCTTAGCCAAAAGGCCGAGAAGAGATTAGGTTAGGTTCTATTCTCAATTTAATCAATCTAGGCTTTGTTACTGTCTCCCATCATCTGGGGAAGCACTGGACAGTGCCTCTTGGTGTAGAGTATTTTGAAATATCGTGAAAGAATACTTGGCAGGTTCTTGATGAGCATAAATATTTTTTTTCTCCAGCTCTCTGGAAAGAACTGTAACAGGTGATATAAAGTGTGATGCTTTGGCTGAAGTCACAAAAACCAGCTCTCAGTGGCTTAAACAACAAGAACTCACAAGGATTCACAGAACTGATAGTCAGAAAATGGGTTGGGAATCAAGGAAGGTGTGTTACATGTTCGTATCTCTCCCCCTCTCAGCTCTGCTTTGCTCCCTGCACTGCTGTGGTCTCAAGGAGACTGTGGGCACCAAGGGCTGAGATGTGGAGGAGCGGTGGAGGGGAGAGGAGAGAAAAAGAGAGAGAGAGGGAGGGAAAGGTTGGATTCCCTTAAGAGTCCAAAATTGTCTTTCTCAAAAGCATCTGGAAGACTGATTCATTTTACTGGCCAATCTTGCCTTAATTCAGCCCATCTCTCTGTCAGTTGTGAACAAAAAATATCACATAATTGGCTTAAACACAAAAGAATCCATTTCTTGATGGCAGGGACCTATCTTAATTATCTTTTGCAGGTGCCTCAGGCCCAAATTCTATGATTTGCCCACAGTGGATACCCAATTATTTATTTAATGTATTAATTTATTCAGAACGTATGTTGAGTGCCTATACATTTTCAGTTGTCAGCACTAGGGATTTATCAGTGAAAGAAATTTGTCAGTGGAAAAACAGTATGTTCTGGTTCTCATGGAGCTTACATCCCAGTGGGGGAGATGATGTACAATAAACAAATAAGTAAACCAAGTGATAATCAGTGCTTTGTCAAATCCAGCGATCTTAAAAGTGTAACTCAATTCACAGAAACTGTGATCAGTGGCAAATTCCTGAGTGTTCTCCTGTAAGATGCCTCTGACACAGAATATACTACAGAATCATGTTTGAATAGCCAAGCTTCCAGTTGCTGAATACTACTGACCTAGACCTGTTTGACCCTCACCTATGGTTGGAGGTTTAGAGCCCTTATGTCTTGAGTCTTAGGATTTATCCTTGATAATTTGCTGCTTTTTAAGCTTTCCCTTGCCTGTGAGGATCCCTCACCTACTGCTGGCTCAACTGGCTTATAACCATGAACTATTGTCTTGTTTTGCTAGTACTGGTGTTAGGACCATACAAGGTGGCTCTAATCCTGAATCTGACATATAGTGCTGGGAGATGGGTAGTACCAATATTATTTGGTAGATGGGGAACTAAGCCTCCATGGGTCAAGTGACTTATTCAGCATTACACAGCTAGAAAGGACCAGGGACATTATTCAAATCTAGGTTCTCCTAAGCAACTCTAAAATTTGAGGAAATATGAAATTCTACCTTTGTCTGGTAATATTTCTTACCATGCTACATGTGTCTCTCCTAAGAGTGTAGAATCCATGTCACATATCTCATCTCTTTTCTCCATATATTCTGGTACCTAATATTTTCCTGAGAGAAAAGTCAATCTGTTAATTGATTAAGAGTATTTTAATTGATAAATAACTCTGGAAGGGCTCTCACTTACATGAAAACAATACAGAGACAACCTTGTAATAATATTTTGCAAAAATAAAAGTCAACAGTTGTTTTTAACTAGATGACAGCAAAGATATTCAAATAATAAATGAATTTACTCTGATGGTTATGCAGATAGATATTAATGTGTCATCAAAGCACTTCCATCAGTTATGTGGGCATGCATTGGCTCTAACAGTGACATTGTAGAAGCATCAAGGCCTTTAAAAATAGTGATTAGGGAACAACATGGATCATCAATTTAAAATAACTCTTCTTCATGGCTTAAGGTACAACTATTAGCAACAATCACAACAACTCAAGTTTATGGTCATAGACCGAGTGCACTGAGCAGTCGCTGGACTGCCTGATACTCCTGTGGGATACGGAGACCATCAATCTGCCTTGGCCATTCCAGGAAGGCACACCCACTGAAAATGCCTCTCAGAATTTATGCCATGCATGAATAGTCATTAATTTGGGTGCCCAGCACCCTGCTCAGCCAAAATTAAAAACCAAAATATTTTATATACTTCATTATGGTTTAATATATATAAACATGGTGATCATAAATCAAAAGAATTTTCCCCACAGGAAAGGCATAAATTTCCAGATCCATTTTAAAAATCTTAACAATTCATGCTATGGCCCCAACTGTCATGGGATTATGCAACTGTGGCATTATGGGAACCTAGGAAAGTGTGTGCACTCATCCCTCCTATCCTTTGCAAGGCTTCCTCTCAAGTCCAGACACAGCAAAGGATGTTAGAGGCCTGCAGAGAAGAGGCTTCTCGCAGTTATTTGTTTGTTTTTAAATTATAAGATGTAGCTACATATTACATATATGTTCGCCCAGGTGATTGTCTTTAGTGATTAGTAGGGAAACAGCTTGTTGAAACAAATGGAACCTGAAATGTAGAATGACAGAAATTCACTAGAAGGTTCTTTTTTGCTCGCATAACAGACAAGACAGGTAGCTCAGTAATTCAGACTGACTGAGGCTGTCATTTTTAACGCAAGTTCTCCAAAGACTCTGGAGTCTTTTCTGTCCTATTCATCCAGAAGAGCTTGGAGAAAATGTGTGGAAGATTTCCACAGACTATGTCTGAAAGAGGTGACTATCACTTTCACTCACAAAGTACTGAGGACTATGTCCCACAGTGACCCTGACTATAAGGGAGGCTGGCAAGCATGGCTGTGGCTGTGTGCTTAGAAGGAAGAGAAGAATGGGCATTTTGGTGAACTGCAGCCATCTCTGTCTAACTGGTTGAGCTCCTTGCTCTACAAAAGTCATTCCACATCTTGCTTCTCAGTATCCCCCAGTTACGACCTAGTGCTTATCTGTATTTGGTATTCATTTTAGCCCAAAGTTAAGATTCAGAAGAAGGCTGCCATAAGGTACAAACTTCCAGTTATAAGGTAAATAAGTAGTAGGGATGTAATGTACAACACAATGACTATAGTTGACACTACTGTATGACGTATAGTTGTCAAGAGAGTAAATCCTGAGAGTTCTCATCACAGGGGAAAAAAAATTATTTTTTCCATTTTTTTATGTCTATATGAGAAAATGGATATTAATTAAGCTTATTGTGATAATCATTTATGACATGTAGGTTAAATCATTATGCTACATATATTAAGCTTCTACAGTGCTATGTATCAACTATATTGCAATAAAACTGAGGGAAAAAGATTAAGAAGAAGAGAAGAAACTGACAGACTTCTCTCTCCATGGATATCTAGAAATAAACTCCAATCTCTATTGACAAAACAGACTACTACTTTGCTTGAACTGAAACAGAAAAATAATATCTCTTGATGATTACCCATCATTTACAGCAGTATTATTAAAATGGTCTTATGTTTTCTCATCTCCCCACTACATGCCACTGCCTTTCACTCTTAGCCTCCTGTCCAACCTCATAGCTATCTCTGTAGAACACCCTTGAATACTCCTTATCCCTGGCCTAAAACAAGCTGGGAGGTACAGTCTCCTTCAGCAGTACCCTCATAATTGAGACACAGGAATAATATTTCTGGAAATTCACTCTCTAGAAATTTTCTTAGTAAGTTTGCTTCCAAAAGGTCTCACCAATTCTCTGCTTAGCTCAGTTTGCCTTTTCGCAGTGTGACAGAGGTCAAGTTAGGTTCCATGTCTGAGGATGAGTCAGGTGTGGTGGATTTCCTAAGTAGAGTGATTTACCTGGGTCCCTTTAAGTACTTTACAGACTACTGGCTTAACCAGAGAACCAATGTACTCTCTAAAGGAGCCCCTTGAGAATTCAGAGTTTTCAAGCTAAAAGAGTTGATGTCAGTCAGACAGAAAAAGACAAGTACTGAGTGATATTACTTACATGTGGAATCTAAAAAGCCAAATTCATATAAACAGAGATTAAAAATGGTGGTTACCAAGGAATGAGGCATGGGGGAGTAGGACAAATATTGTTTAAGGGCACAAACTTATAATCAATCATCAATAAATAAGCTCTAGAGCTGTAATGCACAGTATAGTGAATAAAGACAATCATATTGTATCATAATCATCAAACTTGCTAAGAGACTAGAACTTCATTACTCAAAGCACTAAAAAGAAAGACTAATTATGTAACACGATAGCATGTTAGTTATCACTACAATGACAATCATACTACAATACATAAACATATCAAATTAACATGTATACCTTAAATTTATACAATGTTATATATCAAATATATTTAAACAAAAATCATAGAGATATAAATGATACAGAGAGATACAGATACTGATACAGATACATAGATATATAAAGAGTTGATATCAGGACATATGAAATCTATGGTTGAAAACTCTATTGATTCCAATTATCTCAGAGACCACCCTGAATGTAGCACATTGACTCACTGGAAATCCTCCCTGCTTTATGTACTTTTGTGCCTACATTATTCATGTCAGGCATAAATTTCCCCCATCCAGGGCTTTGGAATTCATTGAAGAAATATGCAATAGTATTCTAGGTATTTTGAGGGCTTTATCTCATTCCACTATTTCTGAGAGTATTGGAAATATTTTCTACAAGTTTTCCTTTCCTGTTTTTCATTTACAACCACTTTACTTTCTGCCTGCTGAATTTTCTCTTCTCTCTCCTCTAATCTATGGGGACTAGAACTGGTCCAGAGTAAAAGAGAGGAGGAAGAAACACCCTTCAAGAGTTGCATTCTCATCTCTCACCTCACTTGCACTGACAATGGTCACCAGGAGAGATTTTTGGCTGGCCACCCCTCTCCCATCTTCCACTTCCTCTTTGGATTTGTGCAGATGGCAGCAACATGATGGATCCCACAATGGGAGATTTCATCCCATAGAACTGTTGTTAGCAAGATCTCCAGTTGTCAGTAA